CCAGGCTTAGGTATTCAAGAGATTCCTCCCTCCCCCAAATAAGGAAAGTACCATTGTCAATGCAAGGAAAACAACTGAAAATATGTGTTGACAATTATAAAATCTGAGCTTTCAAGCTAACATTAGAATTCTGGAGAACTTCTATTCCGAACCATGAGCTTCAAGGGCTTTCCAGTACTCAAGACTTTCCCACTTTTTAAAGGTTTTTCAGATGGTTAATCAACTAATAAAAGTGATTTTTTGACACCGTAATGTAAAAAATATCCATTCAATGTACAAGAGAGACAAACGGATTGCAATGCAATAGAGCACCCTAAAACGTACTGATGTTAGTTTATACTTCACATTGCAACTACCTTTATAAAATAATACTTTGGGAATTTTAGTGTAATATCCAAGGACAATCTTTTCAATTACCTGAAAATGCTCCTAAAATAATCCTCCCTTTGTAATTACATATACATCTTTGTGAGGATAAGTTTCCTTCACAGAGCTGAACCAAAGTAATAAAGAGCAACAGACTAAACACAGAAGCAAATGAGACCCTAGTTGCCTTCTATTAAAAATGTGTGTGGGGGGCCCTCCCTGGTGGCGCAGCGGGTCAAAGCACAGCACTGAGAAGCTTAAGCCACTTCCGCATGAGTTCGATCCCCGCCTGCCCCGGAGGTGACCACATGGCGCGGCAGACCTCTCCTGACCCGCCCGCTGCTCCCCTCAGCAGTGTACTTCGTCGATCTGCCTGTTCTGCTCCCCACTCTTGTCTCTGGTGAAGCCTCTCACCCTCTGCATCTCTGGCCTGTACCCCCATTCTGTACGAATGAATAAATAAATCTTTAAAAAAAAAATGTGTGTGCGAAGGTAAAACAGTTTTCACCCAGTTTTTTTAAAATGTGCTAGAAAACAAGTTATTTTTTCATTAAGCATGTAATTTATGTTAAAATCCAGGCCTCCCTGGTGGCATTGTGCTGGGATTAAGTCTCAACACTATGAAGATATCGGCAGCCATTGCAGTGCAATTTTGATCCCCAGCCAGGGAGCTGACCCACACGGCATAGCCAACTTCTCCTGTCCTGTCTGTTGCTCAGCAGTATATTTCAGTGAATCTCCCTGTTCTGTTCCTCACTCTGTCTCTGGTGAATCCTTTCAACACCCTGTCACACCTCTGGCCTGAAACCCAGTTCTTGTATATATAAATAAATCATTTTTTAAAATGTGGTGACATTTTAACTATTATTTTTAAACAAATTAATAAACCATCCTCTATTTTCTAAATTTCTCAATATTGTATAGACATAACTAACTTCAAAGAAAGTAAAAGAATACTAGGATCAAAAAGTTAAGAACATCTATTTTAGAAAAAAGGGGGAAAATAACAAATAAATGTATAAGTTAACTTAGAACACACATACATACATACCCTGGAAAGCATATCAAGGGACAAAAATTATCACCAACAAGAACATTCAGATTAAAAAAAATGACACTTATACAAAAGTATCCAGGGCTTTAAAAGTGTTTATTTCCAAGAAAGGGGCACCTTCACATTCTGAAATCTACTTCATGATTTGTCAATGCCCATGATTTGTCAATGTCCTGGGCAGGAAGCTCAGGACCCTGCTGCACTAATAAGGATGGCACAGAGTAAGTATTCAAATACAAGCTGGATTGAAAACAAAACCAAAAAATTACTGACAGACAAAATCCAGTGGCATTTCAATTCAAATGATGATGAAATTTTACCATCAAAATGTACCTGTTTACATAATACTAACAATTATAAAAAGTACTATTCATGGAAGGGCCTGTTTACTCTGTCCACGCATTATACTGGGCATTTTAGAATTTTAATTCCCACATCAACCATGGCATATTTTATAGCTAAGGAAAACAAGGCCTCAAAGGGTTAACTTCTTTTAGTACAGGTAGTGCCAGAAAATTAGACTCACATCTCTCTGCTTAAAGACATGTTTTTCACTACTTATTGAAACTACACTCAATACTGCTTGGTTACCACCTTTTCCACTCTTTTCCTGGGAATTTTCAGAAGAATTCACTTTGCAGAAGTCATTTTTCCTCCTCCCAATCTCCCACACCGTTCCACTACCTTCCAGCACCTTTACCTTAGGCAATTAAGCAATATAGTAAGCCCTCTGTTTAGGGGGTAGTATGTATTTTCATGACACACATCAGAAACAGCGTTAACAATGGTGGAAGCAGTATAATAAGCTGCAAGAAAAAGAGCTTTGGGTTCCAGAATACAAATTAAGGCTCTCTGACCCGTGATCTTGCAGAATGCAATCACAATCAGTTACTCAACTGTCCACAGTATGGGCAACACCACCTCAATTCTCAAGAGGCTGATCAGAAAAGCTCCTGGAGGTGTCCAATCTCTTCAAGGCCAGGCCATGATTTACCAAATGGAAAATACCAAGACAAGTACCTCTGCCACTTCCTTGTCATTCTCCTGCAACTAAACAACCAATACTGAAGCTCCCAGGACTTCCTCCAACCCCAAGACTACCTGAACAAAGGAGCTTTGTTCCCAAAGAACATACTGGTCACAATATAAGAAGAAAAGCCATGACTATTACTATCATGCTCTGCACTGATTCTAAATAATATGTTTTTCTTTTTTCCCCACCTGGGTTAAAAAAAAAAAAAA